TCTCTCACTGTTCAAATAAACCTATCTTTAAAATTATAGACTGATCATTTCTTTGTCAGTGGGCAAACGTACAAAACAGCAGGGGATCAAATACTTTTTTCCCTCACTGTATTGCCCCACTCTACCCAATATTCAAGTTTTATTAGACATGTACAGGATACGCATGGTATACATCGTCCAACGAAATGCTTACTTGCAGGTTCCTTCTTGACAATGCAACAACAATAAGAAATAGTAACAAATAAGAATACGAACATAAAGTAAATGGCAGTAGAATAGAATAAACATTTTAGCATAAGTATAATACAGGAAGGCACAATTTATAGTACAATATTTACACATGTATCTGCTCTGGAGATATACAGTAGAGTAATGTAGGGGTACATAACTGAGAACAGACAACACATGGAGAACACATGCTTCGCTTCCACCTCCACGCATGTCAAACCTGCAGAGCCCCTGCAGAGGAATGAAGTATTAACTATTGTTAGACCTGCTCGCACTGTATCCTGCTACTGGGATGACATGAATAACGCTTTGTATGATTTGAAGGAGCTGCATCCTGCTACTGTGGTTAAAGGGGTTCTCTCCAATGTGCCTACGACGTGTGTGTGACAGAGAGAGAAAAAGAGAGAGGAAAAATGCTCATGAGTAGTTGCACATTTGCTCAGGCATGCATTACAATGCACACATATAGTATAGTACCTAACCAGTCAATAAACATGAGTGATATTATTTTTTATTATGTGGATGGTCTGTGGGTGCAGCAGCTCCTTGAAATACTTGTTTATCCCACAAGAGAGGTCACCCTCTCTCAAATATACATGAGTTAATTTCTGAAGAGGGCTGGTGCCTCCTCATGCTCCTAAGGCATTAAAGATAACATCCCTTCAGAAACGTTTCAGAGTGCTGTTAAAGCAAATACAAACAAGTATATATCTGATGGCAAGCATGGCTAATTCCAGATGCCACCGTGTTCAAAAGACGCACCAGATTAAATGATTTTCAGTTATCCCTCAAGGAGATGTCAGCTCCAGTCAGGCAACGTTCATAACAATGGAGTGACGCATGTTAAAACTATGAAATTCATATATTGATGCATCATAATGCTGCTTTTGGGGTTGAGCAGATGTGAAAACATGCAATACTACTGTCCATACTTCAGGGTGCACTGTGTACCCCTAAAGCAGTAGCACCATTCTAGGTTAACTGAATATTTCTCTGAGGATGAGAGGCAGAGAGCAATAAATATCAAATTAAACGCTTTACTCTAATTTAGTACTATATGAGGCATACATCACTCAGTTTGATTTATTTTACAACCCAGTGTTTAAATTCACTCTGTCATCATTCTAAAACACTAATTGATACACTTTGTGTCACAGCTGGGATGCTGGTAGGATGTTCTGGTACCAACGTACTAATTTAATTGGATATAATCTTATGATTGCAATACATGTGAATTTTTTACGCAGTTAATTTTCAAAGTAGGTTTTGAGATCCCTGAATCACAAAGCCATCTGGCCATTTTAATGTTGTAATTACAAGGGTTTACTGCAGCATGGGTTCATTACATGCTCTGGATGGGCCCAAGTCACTTAGTAATAAACCCTGGTATAGGGTTGTAGCACCGTAAGATGTGGTTGATAGTAGAGGGGACATCTCTTGATCTGACTACAAGTCAGGAAATTCTCTATTAGCTTTTATAAACTTTCTGTGGTGCCGTGGAAATTTGGCCATAATCGAAACCACCCGTGTGGTTTTGTAAACTCAATTATACAGCCACTGGTTGAGGTCGTCCATCTTGATTCTGGTGGCCGACGAAATTCATCTGCGCTCAAAGCCACAGTGGTAGTTGAGTGGTAGTTGCTACAGACAGTTGCTACAGCGCAACAGCAAACAAATGCTCCCGTTATTAAAACTGACGTGCCCTGCAATTGGAAGGATTCATCAATATCCAGTGGAAAGGATATAATTAGAGAACGCAAAATTTAAGGGGATATTGTCAAAAAAATGTACCTGTCTCACAAAAGAATGGATACATATATATGTACTTTTGAGAGACTGTTTACCTAGTAAACATGCACTCTGGTGATGCTAATCTGGAAAATAATTTGACATAAATTACAATAAACACTGACCATTGTGTTTAATACAATGTCATAACTAAATCAAATATCAAGATACTCTTCCTGCAGTATGTTCACTAAGGGCTGGATTCAATCTGTATCGCAGAAGTATCGTGGAAGATCCGCGTTATAGTTTGATTGAAATGTAAAGGCAATGTAGTCCCCTTTAGCTCATTTGGTAGAGCATGGCGCTTGCAACGCCAGGGTTGTGGGTTCGTTTCCCACGGGGGGCCAGTATGACAATGTATGCACTCACTAACTGTAAGTCGCTCTGGATAAGAGCGTCTGCTAAAATGACAACAAAAAAAAAAAGGTTCCCGCGTTCGCGGAGACTGCTTTCACGGTAAACGCTGCATATGTTGCCTCAATCGGAAATAACCTTTACATTTTTACACAGATCTTCCGCGATACGGACTGAATCCAGCCCTAAGGACCTCACCTATTATCTTATGCATGGCCCAAGTGGCATGGCTATGTACAACTGACTACAATTCCTGCCAGGCATTGGAAAGTGCTAACACACCCCAAAGCTGTCTGGATAGTCATTTTAATGCGGTGGGAGCATTGTACTTCAAAGAGCCCTCAGACTGAACTAAACACTGTTATTTGGCTGTGGGTGAAACAATGACTGCAAACTAGTCAAAGGGGAGGGATGTTTGTCTTTCTCTGACCGGGCTATACCCGCTCCTGACAGGGCAACCAGATCTATGAGGTATTCATACCTACTGTGTAAGAAAGAATCAACCTGAAAAACAAGTCGCCTGTGCGAAAACTCTCATTCTCGGCCATTGCCCATGCTGCCGAGTCAAGTTAATTGGGGTTGATGCTGGCGAAAGACTGGACAACAGTCTCGAAGTGCCTTTTCTCTTTTTTAATGCTGTTTCAGTGGGGTTGAGAATAATTTTCCTCTTCCATCTTTACCTGCCCTGACCCTTTTCACAGAAAGTCCTAAGAGAGCTTCTTCCCATCTTTCCAATGAAAGGGAATGGCCGATTAAGGTTGGCATCAATAATAATAAGCCATTTAGCAGACGCTTTTATCCAAAGCGACTTGCGTGCATACATTTTTGTGTATGGGTGGTCCCGGGGATCAAACCCACTACCTTGGCGTTACAAGCGCCGTGCTCTACCAGCTGAGCTACAGAGGACCAACATTACATTACATAATTTGAAGTCATTTAAAGTGGGTGTGCCAACCTTTGATTTCTGTGACCAAAGCAGGAATGAAAGAAAAAGTGAAAGTCATGTAAAGCAACTAGAATGGACTTGAAAACATAATCAAATGCTATATCAATTACCCTATACCCATACAAGTGTCGGAGTGAGACATTAGGACCCAGCAGAGTCAAGGTTAATACCAAAACAGATATAAGGAAGTGGTTCAGGTAGGTACAGCCTGTGACACGGTTGTGACTAGATGGAATACAGATACAGACAAGCTTTACAATTGAACTTTCATTAGAGTTGGACTGAGGATGAGTCTGAGTTGTATTTCACTGTTAGTTTTACACAAAATAATTGTACATTTTCAGTTAATAAAATTGACGATTGTTTATTTTCAAAGAAAGGACTGATGATGGGTGTACTGTTGCTTGTATGCGTGTGCTTACTGTGACTGTCACCCTGATATTGGCTACACTAGCCAAGCTACTTCCCACACCATTGCGGGACCACAATGCTTGACGAGCAGGAGCGAAGATACTGTGTCCCGGTGTTGTTGCCGTTGAGATTGTTATCAATATTAGTTATTTCTTGTGTAGGCTAATATCCTACTTGAAAGAAAATCATGGGAGGGAAAAAATTAGCCATGTTAGCTAGCACTGGCGATCCCATGAATACAGTGAACGCGCCAAGTCGCTGTCTGGCTTCATAACGTCCAAACTCTCGTGGTATTTCAATGGTAAATCTCTTCCCTAGCTGTATTCCCCAAAAAAGTTTTGTATAGGCTATACTATATAGTGTATAGTGTGGCTATAGTATACTTTGTATAGTGTGGGTATAGCCACACCTGTAACTACAAGTATAATTGTCTAAAATGTTTTGGTTAAATCACATTAGGTGGTGTTACAATCTGTAGCTTGTGTTGATGGTTTTGGAATTCCTCTTCATTTTAATCAAACATAGGGCTAGGCATCAGCTAGGCATTGGTCAACAAAACCAATATTTCAATTAACCATATAGGCCTATTTCATTAAGTGAACTAGAGTGCTTGATTTCCTACTCTTCGACATTATCAGAAACTGACTAGTCATGAGGAAGTGTCAATAACGTGCTCTTCGGTGAGCAAGGGGTTACCATGTTCCCTTTCTCACCTCAACTGTGCGCACCTAAAAATATCCTCCGCTGGTACTGGATCAAAGGGGGCAGCAACACCGACGTGAATCCCGCCCCGACATTTAGCCTAATAGGTGGAGCATGTACGCAACTCTACAGTGGAGCAGAAGGATCATGGTAACCACTTTAGTACAGGGGCGAGTGAGTGGGTAGGGTTTCAGCCGTTCAGCGAGCGCTCTCTGGTGATCTCGCAGAGATAGTAGTCTAGAGCCTGTCGTCTGGGACACTGCAGGACCGCTTTTAAGATCTAATCAAATGGCAAAGCTGAACCACACTGAATAGAGCTCCCTTTCAAATAAGACATGACTGATTGATGTATCCAAATCTACAGAATGCCTCACATGACTTTGACTTAGACACTCATCTGAAGGTAGTAAGGTGGTTGGAGAAGAAGACAGTTGCAATTTGCCCAAGGCAACCCCCCGTCAAAAGTTAGGTCGTAAGGATTTCTATACCTTACAATTCGCTTTTCATCGTTCTCCCGATGAATATTGGAATTTCGTGGTGGATAAAAATCGAATAAACATTTACAACAAAAATGGAAGAAGATCAAAAGTGGGGAGTTGCTGGTAAAAGTGTGGGGAGGACTTGCTGTGACCATCCTTGCAAAAAGCGCTTTTGGAGGAATTGGAAAGATTTGTCCGGTATAACTGTCTGCATCGCATTATCTGTATTGTCTCTTGGATTTTGTGTTCTCGTTTACCTGAGGACCTCGGAGCTGCAGTCCAGGATACTAAACCTGGAAAAACAGAGAGATACGCAGCTCCCCGCCTGGATCTCACTCGAGCAGGTGGAACCCATTATCTTTGGACGAATAGATCAGATTCTGGAAGAGGTAAGGGTTGTGGACTAATTATTCCATATCAAACATATTCTTACTTATATTCTATATTCTTACTTTTTGTTCAAGTGATACATTGCAAGTAGGCCTACTTTGTTGTTCAAATGATTATAAGTAATGAGAAAAATAAATACACACCTGTGGGGAAACATAGGCTATTTAAAATGTATAGCTTATTTAGTCATTCCGTTGGCTACGCTAATGAAAATATTGATTAGCCTACTTAAAAAATAAATAATGTGTATTTTGTTTACATGTCTTATTTTAAAGGGCATGGATAGGATGTGTAGCCTACCTCGCATATCGATGTCTCTCACTCATTCCACAAGTGCTTGAAGCAGCGGCAGTTCCGATTGGAATTAGACCAGCTGCTCATGTTAACATGCACGAGAATATAATGTCCAAAGTTCAAATAAGTTTGTTTATAATAGCTTACGTTTCAATGAAGAATTTTGTGCAATATATATTTTATATTTTATTTAATCACATGCACTCTCATAGGCTACCTGTGCTACCTTAATTTATTTATTTTAACTTTTTGGATTGTGTGTACTGTTTTGTATTGCTTAATGCACTGTTGGAGCTAGAAACACAAGCATTTCGCTGCACCTGTGATAACATCTGCAAATATGTGTAAAGACCAATAAACTTTGATTTGATTTTGATTTGATTTGTAGATTCCATGGATGAAAAACATGCATGGGCCGCGCGCGGCACGTCCAAAGCACGTTGGCTTTAGTTCAAAGTCTAGTTTTATTCCTAAATGTAAACTGAATGGCAGGAGAATTTGCGTCTGTCTTTGGGGCATCAGCATGGTTTAGGTAACAGGACTGTGAATGACCCTGGGATCAAATCTGTTGTTTTAAAATATGCTTTTCAACGCGCCCTTGCACTGGCCTTTAATTTACCACTTCCACAGCAGGGCCCCTGTTTCCCCCCTGTTTACTTTCGGCTAACTCGGGACATCATTGTAAATGCACTTATTGTAGAGACAGCAGTGCACCTCAAAGGGGTGCATCAGAATACTCAATTTTCACTGCAATCATGGTCACCACACTATTTTTAGGATGCACATTGTGTTCTTATAGAACATTTACATTAAAAACACAGATGTCACAAACCTATCTCCCCTTGCATTAGAAAAGATAGCCTACAGTTAAAGTTAATTCACTTTAGGCAATTATTTTCTATGCACCAGGGACATATGTTTTTTATCTTGTTCATCTTGGATTTCAAGGATACATCTGTGTTGTTAATTATCAGTTATTATCAGAATATTATCAGACTTGACATTGTGCATATCACAAATACCCAAGGATCTTATATGTTTGATACCTTCCTTATCCTTATTGCAGTTATTGAATATCTGCTATTGAGCATGGAGCTAGTGTGGCCCTATAAACACAATCTTACTCCAGTCTTGCAGGAGGCATTGTGATTCACCCCTTTGTTTAGATCTGTTTATGTAAATGCCCATTATTAATGTGATGCAACAGCAGATGTGGCCGCTTCTAGCCGACTGCCTTTGCGTGTTTCTGTCCAGAACCTCCAACACTTTCTATAAATTTACTGCAAGTTGGAATCCTCTCTGGAAAATGTACTCTGCAGAGGCCTAAATTATTTCCCACAATTCACATTCTGATTTTGAGGAAATATCCCATACATTTGTTGGATAATGTTTGTGGTTCATGTTTTTGTACTCTAATCTTTGTTGCCCGAATAGTCTGCTGGGAGGAGGAACATATGTAATGAAAGGACTTCAAACTATGAATATTAACCCAACTTGTACCATCACAGACATATTATGTCTTTAGACTAGGAATGAATATAGTGGTCTCTTTACTAGCTGACTGACTTGAGAGTGATAACAGGTATCATGATGTGGATGGATGGATGGATGGATGGTGAGGAGTCGGACTGAGTTATAGTCCATACATGGCAGCTGAGGCTCTCGCTCCTTTTTGGTTTAGGGGAGAGAGAGGGGGGTACATTCTCCGCCTCTCTGCCTCCCCACTTTAATGGTAACCCGATGCCAGAGTTTTTGATCTGGTTTTATCATTCTATTTTAAAAGGATGACAAAACATTTTACAATCCCAAAGTCAGATTAATACTAAGACCCTCCGACTTTGCTGCCCAGGGGCCCTACTATGGAGGCACTATAGTGAGCGCTGTCCCCCTGTCCTGTCCTGTGGCTACAGGAGGCCTCCTGTAGCTCAGTTGGTAGAGCATGGCGCTTGCAACGCCAGGGTTGTGGGTTCGATTCCCACGGGGGGGCCAGTATGAAAAATGTATGCACTCACTAACTGTAAGTCGCCCTGGATAAGAGCGTCTGCTAAATGACTAAAATGTAAACGTAAATCTCTGTTACTGGACTGAGGGCCTTTGGGGCATATTCTCCATAGCTCTGCTGTGAAACCTATACCCCACTTGACTCTCAGTGATTTCTCTAACAGACGTGCCATTAACACATGGGTATCATCAATCACATGGTCTTAAATAATTTAACACCAGGACATAAAATACATTATTGACCCTTTTGTTCTGATCAACAATCTACGTGTTGTTTCCATGTGTCATTAAGAGATTCATCTCCACACTCTTGTTTGCCCTCTGTAAATTCTGCTCACCACCTGGACCCAACGGACACACCAAATACCCACAGGCATGGATTGTTAAATCAGCTCTAAAGGAACTTGACCCTTTCCTTCTTTGCTTTCCGAGGGGCCCTAAATCTATACACATCTTCTGAGGCTGTGGTTGTTTTGAAATGGTTTGGTTTCAGAAATATTGAGATACAAGAGGAAAATTGTAAGGTGGTTCTATAATGCAAAAAGTTGGAGATCTCATTCTTATCCACTTGTGTTCTACAGAACTCTCAGCCCTGATCCTTCCCTGAGAACTGAACCTCTCACATCTACATCACTGTGAGAGGTTGAGCTCTGGTCTTGGCCTCAGCCCTACTGTACATGGCTTTGACTCTACCAGAAAACTTTACTCTGACAGAGCACAAAGGCGTCTCAGGCACTTCTAGAGTGTGTTGTTTTATTTTCCCTGACTTATTAGCACATGTAGCATTTATCCCCACTACTCCGCTGGTGCTTTCTGCTCTATTGAACTGCAGCATTAGGTAACATGCAAAGAGATGGCGGGTGGCTGTGTGCTCAGCGATGGTCTGGCTGCCCAGAAAACCACATCTAGTTTACACACTGTGGGGTGACAGATCAGCAGGGATCAGAGCGAGGAAACCGGGGCAAGTGGAGATGTATTTTTCACTTTTCTACACCTCAGAATCTGGACTGAAACTCACACAAGCTTGAACAGGGAGACATGTGCGCTAGGCCTCTGTCAAGCCTACGGAGACCACTTTGTGGTTAATTGTTCATGTTAAACAGGCCAGTTTTAGGGTGAGATAATGACGTGTTCAGGGGGAGTCTGAGAATTATCGAGGAATGAATGTCTCTCAAGACTTTTGATTTTGCTACATTGGATTTGACACCTGAGGTGTATTGTTGAGAAGTCAGCCTCTGGGTTTTATGAGTAGGCAGTGCTAAGCATCCTGTCTTTGTGCTGAAACTGAAGAGAAGAGTGTTTAAATCAGTGGAAGAAATGTTATATTTCTACAGGAGTGGCTTAAACTGCATAGAAATAGCAGCTCACAAGTCATTTTTACTGTACAGCTACTGTGCTTTTTCAGAGAGATACAGAGCAGGAAATATGTATTCTGGCAACAAAGATTAGAGTACAAAACATGAACCACAAACATTATCCAACAAATGTATGGGATTTTTCCTCAAAATCAGAATGTGTATAGTGGGAAATAATTTAGGCCTCTTCAGCTTACATTTTCCAGAGATGATTCCAACTTGCAGTAAATTAATAGAAACTGTTTGAGGTTCTGGACAGAAACACGCAAAGGCAGTCGGCTAGAAGCGGCCACATCTGCTGGACGTTTGTATAAAGTTCTTGGGACGTTGGGTCATGGTCCCCGTTGTGTCATGGTCCCCTGGAGGTTTTTGTCACGTGATGGTCCCAGGTGTCCCAAACCATAATAAGTAAAGTAATAAAATGGTATGTGGGTTTTAAGGTAAGTGGTACAATGTTCAGCTAAAATAGTGTAAAAGTCTTTAATCAATTACAGTATGATTACATTTGACATGATCGCTTAGTACTGACTTTTCAATATGACCCCACTTGGGATTTGAATTTACAACCTCTGGATTTGGGGTATGCGGATCTTTCTGCTGTGCCAACAAAGTCTGTAGAAGTTCAGAAGTCTCCTATACATTCATTACCAATGATGCATCTCTGCACTTAGCAAAAGAGTGCAATCTGCACTGCTATTTAAGTTATCAGTTAATCTGACTATTCTCTCATTGATTTAATTGACGTATTTCAGCAATTTGAGTTTGGGTTTTCAGTATAGTTGTCTAATGTTGGTAGGGCATATTATTCTGTTTTAATGTTACTCCTGAATCACTATGATAAATATAATTGTTTTTCTTCAGTGTATATTTAACAGAGCTGAGATTTACTTTGAAGTGCAAAGTGTAGGAATAAGCCTACAGGTGAAATCAGTCATTGATACAGACATGGTGGTGTAGCAGGAAGATCGGAATGCTGTCAACAAAGAGGTTGTGAGTTCGAATCCCAGGTGAGGACTTGTTAAATAATAATGATAGTGCCTTGCAAAAGTATTCATCCCCCTTGGCATTTTTCCTATTTTGTTGCATTACAACCTGTAATTTTAATGGATTTTTATTTGGATTTCGTCTAATGGACATACACAAAATAGTCCAAATTGGTGAAGTGAAATGAAAAAAATAACAGAAAAGTGGTGCGTGCAAATGTATTCACCCCCTTTGCTATGAAGCCCCTAAATAAGATCTGGTGCAACCAATTACCTTCAGAAGTCACATAATTAGTTAAATAAAGTCCACCTGTGTGCAATCTAAGTGTCACATGATCTGTCACATGATCTCAGTATATATACACCTGTTCTGAAAGGCCCCAGAGTCTGCAACACCACTAAGCAAGGGGCACCACCAAGCAAGCAGCACCATGAAGACCAAGGAGCTCTCCAAACAGGTCAGGGACAAAGTTGTGGAGAAGTACAGATCAGGGTTGGGTTATAAAAAAATATCAGAAACTTTGAACATCCCACGGAGCACCATTAAATCCATTATTAAAAAATGGAAAGAATATGGCACCACAACAAACCTGCCAAGAGAGGGCCGCCCACCAAAACTCATGGACCAGGCAAGGAGGGCATTAATCAGAGAGGCAACAAGGGGACCAAAGATAACCCTGAAGGAGCTGCAAAGCTCCACAGCGGAGATTGGATGTATCTGTCCATAGGACTACTTTAAGCCATACACTCCACAGAGCTGGGCTTTACGGAAGAGTGGCCAGAAAAAAGGCATTGCTTAAATTTAAAAATAAGCAAGCACGTTTGGTGTTCGCCAAAAGACATGTGGGAGACTCCCCAAACATATGACGTAAATGTAAATGTAGAAGGTACTCTGGTCAGATGAGCTTTTTGGCCATCAAGGAAAACGCTATGTCTGGCGCAAACCCAACACCTCTTATCACCCCGAGAACACCATCCCCACAGTGAAGCATGGTGGTGGCAGCATCATGCTGTGGGGATGTTTTTCATCGGCAGGGACTGGGAAACTGTTCAGAATTGAAGGAATGATGGATGCAACACTCGAGTGGTTTAAGGGGAAACATTTAAATGTCTTGGAATGGCCTAGTCAAAGCCCAGACCTCAATCCAATTGAGAATCTGTGGTATGACTTAAAGATTGCTGTACATCAGCGGAACCCATCCAACTTGAAGGAGCTGGAGCAGTTTTGCCTTGAAGAATGGGCAAAAATCCCAGTGGCTAGATGTGCCAAGCTTATAGAGACATACCCCAAGAGACTTGCAGCTGTAATTGCTGCAAAAGGTGGCTCTGAATAGTTCCAGGTTGTAAGGCAACAAAATAGGGGGGGAAATAGGGGGGGGGGGGTGAATCCTTTCGCAAGCCTCTAATCAAATCAAATTTAATCAAATATGTCAAAGTGTATCAAATATGCAAGTTGAAAACACTATATTAAAAGCAGTGTGTGTGGGTGTCCCTAGCATTGCCAAAAGACAAAGTGTTGTGACTGGATCAGTGGTTCACCTTTCAGGTCCTTGATGGGCTTGGCAACCATAAAAAGGGACGATGTGTATTAAAACTAGGGTGTGCGTGCCCTGGATAAAACAATTTTTTGGGGAGAGAAGAACGTTTCTTTGCGACCATTAGGTGATGTCCCCGGTGCACACCGGGAACTAGACAAAACCTCCAGGGTACCATGACACAACGTCACAAAAACGTCTGTCACGCTCTGGCTCCGGGACTTTGTATGTTGAGCCAGGGTGTGTTCGTTTCGTTGTGTTGTTCTGTTTGGTTGGGTTGTCTATGTGGTTGTTTTTCCTTGTTGGTATTGAGTGACTCCCAATCAGAGGTAACGAGTGTCAGCTGTTGGCTCGTTAGCTCTGATTGGGAGCCATATTTAAACTGTGTGTTTTCACCTTGTGTTTGTGGGTTTTTGTTCCATGTTCTGTCAGTGTTACAGAGGACTTCACGTATCGTCATTGTTTGTTGTTTTGGTATTGAGTACTTTAATTTAATAAAGTCATGTTCGCTCAACGCGCTGCGCTTTGGTCTACTTCGCTACTAGACGATCGTGACAGAAAAACCCACCATACAACGACCAAGCAGCGTGTCCAGGAACACACGCAGGTGACTCTGGTGGATGTCCTCCTCGGTTGGGGGCAGATTACCGAGGAGGAGGCCGTCCGGTACCGGAGGGCTATGAAGGGGGAGACCCAGGCAGAAGAGGAGCAGCGGCGTCAGCAGTGCCATCGTCGGACGGACGAGAGGCACCCCCAAGAATTTTTTAGGGGGGGGCACAGGGCATGGACGAAGGGGCTGACGGAGGCAGAGAAGGGGCGGATTCAAAAGGCCACCAGGTTACGGGGCCCACTGGTCAAAGTAGGGAAAGGAGGTTTAGAGGCACGGCGAGAGGTACTGGGGTGTGTTACCAGTCCGGTCCGGCCCGTTCTAGTTCCCGGAGTAGAGCCAGTGGTGTGTGTCCCCAGTACGGTCCGGCCTGTTACGGCCCCTCGCACCAAATGGACGGTGCGCGTCTCCAGCCCGGTCCGGCCTGTTCCTGCCTCTCGCACCAAACCTACGGTGTGCGTCGACAGCCCAGCCCGGCCTGTTCCTGCTCCACGCACAAAGCCTACGGTGTGCGTTGCCAGCCCAGCCCGGCCTGTTCCTGCTCCTCGCACCAAACATACGGTGCGCGTCGCCAGCCCGGTCCGGCCTGTTCCTGCCACCCGCACTAAGTCTACGGTGCGCGTCGCCAGCCCGACCCGGCCTGTTCCTGCCTCTCGCACCAAACCTACGGTGTGCGTCGACAGCCCAGCCCGGCCTGTTCCTGCTCCACGCACAAAGCCTACGGTGTGCGTTGCCAGCCCAGCCCGGCCTGTTCCTGCTCCTCGCACCAAACATACGGTGCGCGTCGCCAGCCCGGTCCGGCCTGTTCCTGCCACCCGCACTAAGTCTACGGTGCGCGTCGCCAGCCCGACCCGGCCTGTTCCTGCCACTCGCACCAAACATACGGTGCGCGTCGCCAGCCCGGTCCGGCCTGTTCCTGCCACCCGCACTAAGTCTACGGTGCGCGTCGCCAGCCCGACCCGGCCTGTTCCTGCCACTCGCACCAAACATACGGTGCGCGTCGCCAGCCCGGTCCGGCCTGTTCCTGCCACCCGCACTAAGTCTACGGTGCGCGTCGCCAGCCCGACCCGGCCTGTTCCTGCCACTCGCACCAAACATACGGTGCGCGTCGCCAGCCTGGTCCAGCCCGTTCCTGCTACTCGCACCAAGCCAGGGGTACGAGTCGTCAGCCTGGTCCAGCCCGTTCCTGCTACTCGCACCAAGCCAAGGGTGCGAGTCGTCAGCCTGGTCCAGCCCGTTCCTGCTACTCGCACCAAGCCAGGGGTACGAGTCGTCGGCCTGGTCCAGCCCGTTCCTGCTACTCGCACCAAGCCAAGGGTGCGAGTCGTCAGCCTGGTTCAGCTCGTCCCTGCTACTCGCACCAAGCCAAGGGTGCGAGCCGTCAGCCTGATCCAGCCCATTCCTGCTACTCGCACCAAGCCAGGGATGCGAGTCGTCAGCCTGGTGAGGCCCGTTCCGGCTCCACGCATCAAGCCTAGGGTGCGTATCGTCGGCCAGGTCCGGTCCGTTCCTGCCTCACGCGCCAAGCCAGGGGTGCGCGTCGTCAGTCCAGATCCTACCGGCTGGGTCAGATCGGACCGGGGCCGCTACGGGGGGATTGAAGAAGGGTGGTGGTCAAGCCCGGAGCCGGAGCCGCCTCCGAGGAGTAATGCCCACCCAGCCCTCCCCTGTTTGGGGTTTTTGAGGCGCGGTCGCAGTCCGCGCCTTTAGGGGGGGGTACTGTCACGCTCTGGCTCCGGGACTTTGTATGTTGAGCCAGGGTGTGTTCGTTTCGTTGTGTTCTGTTTGGTTGGGTTGTCTAAGTGGTTGTTTTTCCTTGTTTGTATTGAGTGACTCCCAATCAGAGGTAACGAGTGTCAGCTGTTGGCTCGTTAGCTCTGATTGGGAGCCATATTTAAACTGTGTGTTTTCACCTTGTGTTTGTGGGTTTTTGTTCCATGTTCTGTCAGTGTTACAGAGGACTTCACGTATCGTCATTGTTTGTTGTTTTGGTATTGAGTACTTTAATTTAATAAAGTCATGTTCGCTCAACGCGCTGCGCTTTGGTCTCATTCGTCAGACGATCGTGACAACGTCCTTGGGGACATCCCCGGGACCAACTGGAAACTAGACAAAACTTCCAGGGGACCATGACACAACGTCCTGATGACTTTAGGCAACCATTTTGTCTTAACGACTCATTCTTGTTTGCAGGGGCTATAACACTTACATTAATTTTAAGTTGTTTAATTAAAGTTGATACCAAAAATGGATTCACTTTTCCATGACCAGTTTGCTCCATTCCAGAGTCTGTAGTGCAGTTTCTTCGTTAGAGACCATATAGGAACATTGAGCTAACATACACAGTTCATTTATTGTACCCGATGCTTAGAATTACAGAACACTCATAACTATAACATGTCTCCAACACCTGTTGGAGGCCTTTAAACAGCACACTGGCATGCCTCTGATAGTAAGTACTATGAATTGTCTTGACTGCTATGTAGTGGGACAGTACTGGAAGTTCTGTCTTGGTTCAGGGTTGAAAAGCAAACTATATTTGTTTATCTAATGAGGTCAATTGTCAAACGTTGATACCTTGATTAAAGATGAGATGTTTCTTTGTCATTTGATATTTAGGTTGATGTGCCTTTGAACTCTGAATTCATCACTATCCACAGACTAATATTCTCTTCCGTTTTTTACCCACGTGCAGAAATTGGCGGCTCGACTTCCCAAAACACGAGAGGCCAGAGAAGCGCCCCATAGCTGTGTCTGTCCACCAGGTAAGCCTCTGTCCCGCCCACTTCTCACTTCTCACCTCTTACCCGACACCCTCACCTTTGACTGATTCTAGCACACCCCTGCAGCTGTGCTCATGTGTAATCAAGGGTTTTATCCACTGCGACTAATCTGTGCTGCTCAAATCCTGCTTTGGTTTCACCCTTCTGGGTGAGCTTAATTTGCCCTGCTAAAATGGGTACTACCCTGAGTACGTAAGCGCGGGAGGGGCGTTTACGTTTAGCAAACCGCTGCGGTAGGGTGGACGGTTGAGTACTGATAGTGAGATCCTCTCCTCAAGGCATTAGCTACCTGAGACTACCATATAAGTAGCCAGGGTACACGTTTTTATCTGCTCTCTTGCCAACTTCTTATGAAATTGTCATGCCTAACAATGTTTGGCTTGACAATGACAATGAAGTACTCAAAAGCACAAACAGATCTGGAACCAGGCTACCATATAAGGATCTTTAAAGGCCCAGTGTATTTAAAATTATGTTTTTCCTGTGTTTTGTATCATATTGTACAACAGCTGATGAGACTGACACTGTAAAAGTGTGGGGAAAAAATTGATCAGTGTTACTTCCTGATAGTTGCTGGTTGAAAATACAATCTAAAGACCTTATAATCAGCATGTTTCCATGGGCGGAAGTTTCAGCTTGCCTGGTGACATCACCAGTTAAGATCACTTTGACTTCCGCTTTTAACCCAATCCCTCCAAAAGACACACATACATAGGTTTTGGAGAGGTGTAGGGGCCTGCCACACTGGGAGCTGTTATTGTGGGGGGTTAAGTGCCTTGCTCAAGGGCACAACTTCAGGAAATGGCCTCTAGGATTTGATACCAGCAACCCTTTGGTTGCCAGCTCACTTCCCGCCACTTCCCGAACTGTCAACTCTCCGGTTGCTGGCTCGCCTCTCCAACCACTAGGCTACAGTACCTGCCGCCTCTTGAATATTGGTTAATAGACCAATAACAAAGAGTTTCAAACCTCTCTGCCAATAATAGCTAGTTTTAAGTTTCCCCTCCCCACTCAGACCACTCCCAGACAGTCCTAGCAAAATTCTTGCTGATAAATAGTTTTTTGATAAAAAGCTATTTTTGTCCAGAAATAATTTGATATTGATATAAAAATGGCTGCAATGGACCTTTTAAAGGGCTCTAAAAGCATAATACTGCAGTGAGGCTTTCTGTATAATGGTGTTGCTATAGCAACATTTCATTCAACTTTTTTCTTTATGAGTGTGATATTGAATTTAATTACTTTATTTTTCCAGAAGGATGGCAAGTCAGATAAGATTAAGATAACAATAGTAAACACATAAACAGCAACATTCACACATGACAGATGCAAATGCTTACAAGGTATACACAAGATAGTTTCATTAAAGAGCTGTGCTATACAAGATAAACATATATATAAATATGTATATATAAAAATATAACTGATTGCGGTCATTCACTGTACTTTGGTTGTCAATGGGAACAGTGTGCAACACCAATGCCATAAATGGATGATGCGAGAAGGACTTTCAATTAGGTTGCTCTCAGCTGCTTTATAACAACCTGTGCAATGACACTTTTATGATTCACTGGTGATTGATGTTGGGTACTGATAACTTGTGTGCATGTTTGTACGGGCTTCTGTTGTTGAAAGTGTGTAACTGACAGCCATTAATGATACAAAGCAAACTATACAAACACTAAAGACGTCACAGCAAGGTTGGAGGGTGAAAAAACAAACAAGATCAAAGCAAGTAAGGGAGGATTGTATTGATGCAGTAGCTATGGCACTAACGCACAATGCAGGATTCCTTGTCTGACTTTTAGGAGGGGCAACAGATGCAAGGATCCAACAGGTTTTACTGGTATATACTATATGTACACTTGATCCTGTACATGCCAAATGTTGCCCTCCTTTTGCACTTGTGTCCTCAGGGTAGCTTCATAATGACGACAGGTGTAGGTGTATTTTGGGCACAGTTGGCGGTGGTCGGCAGCACAGGCATTTTGTATCACATTGGGTCATGATGCAAGCTGGTGTGACAAGGTGCCATCATCAAGGCATTCCTAGGCAGGGACGACAGCCCACTGATAACTAACCACATCCGCTACACAACTAACCCTGTTGTTAAAGTACCAGTGGATTGAAATGAACAACAATGACTGCCAAGAAATTGCGTCCGTATTTGTTCCATTGGAAAACGTATGCCACAGAGAGCTTGCACCTATGGCGCCAGTATATTACATTAGTACCACATATTCTGGAACATACATTAATTTGGGCTATCAGCAAGCATGAAGCCTTGTGTCTGACAATGAAAACTTGTGTTTGAAAAGGTTCTTCAGTCACCAAGTCCACCTGTTTCTCAGCTGTCAGTCATTAAGTAATTAGGTAGTGAAGAGTGTATCTGTGTGTTTGTGTGAGTGCGTGTGTGCGTGTGAGTGGGCCTAAGCGGAACAGGCCTGTGAGAACCAGTAGAGGTGAGGGCGTACACACATTAGTGTTAATTGGTCTTGTCAATAGGATGTCAAGGTCTTAACTGACCAATATGTGTCTTCGGAGGTCCCGTGAAAACCAGTTAAGGTGGACCCACTGTCAGAGCTTCTGATAGGAACCCTTTCTTTTCAGGTGTGAGAGGCTTTTAACTGGAGCCATCCCAGTTGGTGTGTGTTTTATGACCTGGGCAGACTGTTTGGCAGTTCCTGGTCACACAGCTCAGAAACCGCTCTTAAATGTACATCTGAGGCCATGTTAAATTTTTTTGGGGACATTTTTAGATTTTTTCTCAAAATGTATGTTTTCTAAATATTTCAGGCTAACCATTCCTGAATATACTTCATGTAAAATTTTGCTTTCAGTTTTTGGCTGTCAGGGTATGAAGACGACATTTCCAAATGCCATCTCACCGAAGCATGAAGAATGCCATAGCCTGAGGAACTCAAGTTTTCCTTAGAGCAGGATTCATACTGTTCATCAACTGTCCTGTTCATCAACTGTACCCCCAACATGCACCTCTCTATAAATAGCCCTTTAACAATGACAGAGGTACCGGTTCAGTTCAGCATGGCAGGCTGCCCTCAGGACAATGAAGCAGTGCATTGTGGGATATGTGTATGTATATATGGCTATACAGTGCTCCCAGTGTCCACCTAGCCTCTGCCAATCAGGGCAGAGTGTTCACATGGCTCCCATTAATTTGTTTATTTTCAGTTCCCGGCGACGAGGTATAGTAAGCCCTCCCCTGGTCCTCAAGAGTCCCTATACAAACACAGGAACCTATTGTTTAATAAAACAGAGGAGGCGTTAGATGTTGCTGAAAGGCTGGTTTAAGTAATGGTCGCCTTAAGAGGAACGCTTTCGTTCTGAAGAGCTTTCCAATTACATTTACATTTTAGTCATTTAGCAGACGCTCTTATCCAGAGCGACTTACAGTTAGTGAGTGCATACATTTTTCATACTGCCCCCCCGTGGGAAACAAACCCACAACCCTGGCGTTGCAAGCGCCATGCTCTACCAACTGAGCTACTCGGGGCCTATGTCCCTCAAACATCAACAGATGTAGTATTTGATTGATTGCGACCTTGTCAGCTTTGCTTGACTGAAATGAACTACTGTTGAAGCATTGTAAAGTCTGCATAGTTGTCCCTTTGGTGCAAGGGAGATAAATGTATTATGTACAGTGTGGTGTTTGGTGGATGTTTTTAACTAGGGTCAGTGTGTGTATTTCACTTGAAGGACACTAGGTATTATTCTGAGCTTGACATGTTTCATTAGAAGCTGTGATAACTTACCTCTCGCTAGGACATGCTAAACGGAGCTGGGTAGTTAGCTAGCAGGCTTTAAACATTTCAGTTTTCCTTTACACTGTGTCATGATTATAGACGTCTTTTTATAACAATTTGTGACACAACTCCTCAATGCCGTTATAACACTGATGACTCTCTAATGTTGTGTCATACCAAGTTGCTGAATATAAAAAGTCAGTCATGGTCGTTGGCTGAGTTGTGCCCATGAACCGTCTGGGTATGCAGAGATGTGTACAGTACATCCCTGAGTTTGTAATAAGCATCACATGCTGCCATAGCTAAACATGGCGAGGGGGTGAGTAAGACCCTCCATGTGTCACCATTCAATTACCTCATGTTAATGGTCACATGTTGACCAATGCCAAATAGAACGACAGTCATATTCTTAGCAGCATGGATTATAGTATTTCACAAAGCCTTGGGCTCAAGAACTGTTGTTTTGGTTGGCTGGTGTCACGCTCTGGTTCCGGGACTTGGTATTTTAGCCAGAGTGTGTTAAGTATTGTTGTGTTTGGGTTGGTTGGGTGGTTATTGGTTGTTTCTGTGTTTGGTTGAGTGACTCCCAATCAGTGGTAACGAGTGTCAGCTGTCGGCTCGTTATCTCTGATTGGGAGCCATATTTAAACTGTCATTGTTCACCTTGGGGTTGTGGGTTTTTTGTTCTATGTTCAGTCGGTGTAACTGAGGACGTCACGGATCGTGTTTTGTTTTTGTCGTGTGTTTCAACATTAAAATCATCATGTTCACTCCCAACGCTGCGCTTTGGTCGTACTTCATTGGCGCTCGTGACAGAAAAACCCACCACAACGAGACCAAGCAGCGTTTCCAGGAGTTGGATGACGAGTGGTGGAGACAGAAGAGCGAAGGTTGGGAGAGGACTATAGAGGCCTGGTCCACCGAGAGGAGAGACCCCCAGAAAATGTTTAGGGGGGGGCTCACGACGTCGGGGCAGAAGGTGTACGGCCCGGAGGAGTGCAAGAGGTTGGCAGATATGGCCGCCAGTTTAAGGGGGCCACTGGTTACGAAGGGGATGGAAAGTGTGGAGGCACGGCGAGAGGTACTGGGGGGTGTTTCCAGTCCGGTCCGGCCCGTTCCTGATCCCCGTGTAGGGCCAGGGGTGTGTGTCCCCAGTGCGGTTCTGTCTGTTCCTGTTCCTCGCATTGAACCTACGGTGCGCGTCGCCAGCCCGACTCGGCCCGTTCCTGCTCCCCGCACCAAGTCTGTGGTGCGTTTCGCCAGCCCAGCCCGGCCTGTCCCTG